GCTCGCGCAAGTTGCTTGGTCGCCTCTTCGATCACGTTGCGCGAACGCAAACAAGGATATAGGGGAAAACCGGCTCCACGTTTATATTCCATTCGGACGAGGAGCGATGCCAGCGAAAACCTGCTTTTATCGATGATATCCTTCCGTCTAGGGTACCCGACCTCGGTCCAAATGGCTTACGAGAAAAAAGCGTCAAATCCGTTCAAACTCGTAGTCGTCCAATCCGGCGAATGTTCTTAGCGGAAGTCCGTCGTAAAAATTGCTTTTTTCATGTTGGAGACCAATCGCGATCATGCGGATGATTGCGATATGAGAATTTTGGTCTTTATTTAAAAATGTGCGATTTGCTATCGCAACACGATAAATCTTTTAAGAAACGACATGATGTATAAAACCAAATCAAACAAATAAATTGTGAATAAACAAGAATGAACAAATTGTTTTGATGAGTGCAAACAGTGCTATCGTGCCTTCTTTCTTCACTTGTCAATCTTGTTTCGGTAACTAACGCAATAACATACGGAGTTGCTTGCGATGTTATCTGTTGGCTCGAATTTTTGTATGAGAATGGTAGCGCGATGTTCTCGCGTAAACACAGTGCGATAACATAACAGCTGTACACAATAACAAACACCAAGGCTACGCGTCAGCAGAGGAATATTCGAAATATTCCTTGCCTAAGATAACAATTAATTCTGTTTGATCGAGAGAACGTTCTGGAATAAAAATACTTTTACTTGAATCTTAATTGACAGGAGAATTTGTACCAATCTATCAACCTATAGAATAGACCATGGGAAAGAATAATTCTTTATTTAGTTATTACTTAATTTTTTCTTCCCAAATATTTTAAAATAAAATTTGAGATTTGTGCTTATTATTAGTCTGTATGCTTCCAGGATTAACCTTTAAGTACACGCGTTATTTTTACTAAATTTTTTTTTATTTTCTCTAAAAGTAATGTAAGATATGTAAGTTTTAGAGTACATAATAAATAAAACACATGACTGAGAAAATACGTAACAAAAATAGCGCTTGGAATCCAGCCAGACCCCATCCATGCAGTTAAAGGTTAAATATCATATAAGTAATATTTAGAGGTCTTTTTAAACCGTCTATATTTCGAGATAAGAAATTTTATTCTGAGTATCTCATGGTTTTTTATAGAAAATTCATGTAGTGATTATAAATACGGACCTGAGGATCGATAAGATTTTTCGCATGGATAACGGTGAGAGCAAGGAAAGTCTATGGAACTTGAAATTTAATTTATCCTTGTCCAGTGAAGTGAGTAAATTTCTTCTCGTAGCAAATCGCGTCAACATAAACACTCGTTTCATATTTTATATGCCTAAAGGCGTATTATAATTATACATGTTTAAATAACGTTTATCAAATAATTTTAGACTGTAAAATCTTTTAAAACAAGTATATACGTTATATACATAATGTTATTAAAATTAAAATAAAATCTCGCTATTTACAAATCTCTTTTCCGATATATTATCTGGTTTCTTTCTATTTCGGAAAGAGCAAAGAAAATTGGTAAATCTGTATTCATGAGTCTCTACATTTTGCTTACTCCCGCTATGTACGACCCCTATCCCTATGCTCATATCTCTATCTACCGATTCGCCCTCGAACGGGCGACCAAGAAATAACCAGTTTGCATTCCGTCGCGGTGGCGTGTGAGAACGAGAGAAGAAATCGACCCCGGGCGCCATTCCTCGATGATGGTATTCGACGGAGGTGTAACACGGTTTCGACGGACGCGACGGTAGTACGGAGAGCGACATTTGAGCTATCAAAAGTGCGGGTTCGACCCGGGCTAGTCGGAACGAAAGAAGAACGCGACGATTTGCATTTACCGTATTCTTCCCCCGAGCGTAGAATCAATTTACTCCCGGTGGGATGTACCCGAGCGACCCACTTTCGACAAGCATAGCCGACGCGAGTACCATAATTCGTGATGCGACCCCTTGTTTTTACCGGCAAGCTTACTCGTAAGTTCGGTACGTTACTTTTCTACGATATTTGACTCGAGATTATTGGCTATCACAAGCGGTAGCATAATACATACGTCCCTCTCCATAAATATAAAAATGATAACTGATTGTGACATTAATATTTTTGGTGAACTCTCATTCAATTTTGCGAGGTAATTTACCGTTTCTCTAATCTAGATACAAGAACATGAAACAAAGTCACAATCATGAAATTACACATCTCGGGATGTACTCTTTTCCGGAGATTGAAAAGCTCAGATCTGCAGAAAGAGAGTAACGAAATGGAGGACACTGCGAGAGAAGTTGTCGAAGAGACGGTTGCGCGAATGTCCGATCGTAAAGATTCATTTCGCAAATCAGATCAACCTTAGTTCGCTCGCCGTAGCGCCAGAAACAAATCTTCGTTTCTTATAGCGCTTTTCACTCCGTTTCGACCACCGTGTCCCCCGTTCTAGTTGATCGCGCGTTTCCCTATTTCGCCCGAAATCACTGTCTATTTGCATCGAATTGCTGTATTCGGCAGACACGTATACCACCGTGAGATCGGATCGCCTAAACGCAATTTAACATCTCGTCCAACGCGCGCTCGCCCGCCGTATTCGTAAGGCAGAAAATATACTGCATCCTTTAAGTTCGATGCAGTACAAAAGATCGGTCTGAATCAGAATTCCAACTTACATTGAATGAATTCGATCTTTAAAACGTTCTTTTTGAAAAAATAGCTTGCCGGAAGTTTAACATCGTATAACGAGAAAATAATGTAATTTTGCTTTTATATGGATATTTGTATTTTGAAAAATCAATTTGAATATTTGTGCTCATTGTTCGATAATTACTGTAATTAAAAAAAAAAAGAAAGAAAACCATGTAGATGCGTAAATGCGTAAATTTGTAACATTCAGTTACATTTGTTTAAAGTTCGCTTTGTTAGTCCGAAGTACGTAAAGTGAATGCGATGAGAAAAGTCAGGATTGAATCGATGCAATGGACAGTGCGCCATTTGTTATCGCGTATAGCGTATAGCGCGCGTTTTCCAAGACCGAGATGTAAACTGAACTGGATCGACCGGATCGAACTGACCGGATGCAGTTTGCACACCTTGCTGAAACCGCAGTAGGAAGGAACGGGCATTCACGATTGTGCTTTATTTAGGTCAAGCATCGGGAGCGAGTGTATTCTACGCGTTCGACAAATACAGATTCTGAATGCGAAGCTCTCGCACAACTGACGCGTGTATCGGCAACATACTCGATCGGATCGATCGATCGTAATAGGTAAATCGAGAGAGCGGATAAAGGTCTTACGGATTCCTGGAAATGATCCAACGTGCCTTAGAAATACATTGTTAAATGCAGGTTGAAATTTTCGAAAGGATGAAAAAACGCGTTTATTTTAAGGAAAAAGAAGATATCGGGAAAAGTTTGCTTTACCACTTGTAAATTGCTGTTTCTTTTATACAAAGGAGTACAATCGAGTTTGTACAAGTTTTCTGCTAATCCTTGGATCTATAAGATCTTGTAACATTAATTTTTTTATGATATTACTGATACTTTTAATCAAATTTTTCCTTCCTTTAGTAATTATTAAAGAAATCTTAAAGTTACCCATCGACACTTAAGTCGAATACTTAAATTTATCGAAATTTTCTACTATATCAATGTTTTGTAAATTATAATATATCAGGAAGAATCAACTCTATCTTATCTCTAGAATATAAATTTTCATTAAAAAGATATATCATAACTTAATAATTCTAATTTGTATCTTTTCTTTCAAATTTATATTCTAGAGATAGGATAGAGAGTTGATTCTTCCTGATATATTATAATTTTTCAGCAGCTTTAGAATTTTATTCTGTTTTTATTCATCAGAATTATGAAACGCTATTACATTGACCCGGATCCAAAACGCGCCAGTTCCGAAAAGTGTCGCACGAGAAGCAAAGACAAAATCGATTTCTCGAGACAATGCTCTTTGCGAATGCTTCTTGAACGACGCTTCAAGACGTCCAACTTATCCTAGTTTACATTTTACTCCCGTCGTCTATCGACATCTTTTATTCATCTGAGCACCCGTGTCGCAAAATCGCGTGACAAACTTCTTTAATAAAGTTTCAAATGAGAGCGTTATGCGGGACATCACCTTCTGCTCCCTCCCCTCTCCTCCCTCTCTCTCTCTCTCTCTCTCTCTTACAAAGCTACATTATACTATTATTGAAGATAATAAGGTTTCCACATGTCTAAATTTAAAGTTATTTTTCTGTTTGCAATAAATATGTAAACTTGTGTATTTAATATGGAATTGGACATATCGCACTCAGTTAATCAAAGAAAGAGATCAATTTTAATTTTCACTATGAATCATATCTATAGATAGTGGCATTGTGTCAAGATTAATTTTAGACTAAACGATTTATGATGATTATATGTATCAACAAGCACTTAAAAATCTACTAAAGAGTAGGGTAAACTGGGGTAAGATGGCCATACAGGAAAGATGACCAACCTATGTTCTTTCAATCTAGCTCGCCATGAAGCATCGAATGAACATGAGTTGGCCATCTTTCCTGTATGGCCATCTTACCTAAGTTTACCCTATAAAGTGTCTGTCGACGGACGATAATCTCTCAACGCTTTCGTCGAACTATTCCGGAAGAATACGAATGATGATCAGGATTGATTAGAGAAATGGCGGTGCTTACACTCTGATGTTACTAATTCCTTTGCGTTTATTTGAAACGGGGTCGAGGTCGTAACGAGTACGCAAACGAATCAAGAGTGTTGAGAACTTTTCGTTGAAGGACCTGAAGGTTCGTCGTCTGATGAGGTCGGCTTTTATTCGCGGTTAACCGACATTAAAGCGTACACTCGTGCTATCGATCAGTTCATAGGCGCCGCTTTCCCCTTGATAGGGATAGCGATGTCATTGATAAAGAAGCAAAAAGAATTGAAAGATTGGGAAAATGTACATACACAGATGACTGAATTTACTTACCACAGAACACGAACATGAAGTGGAGCTTGCAAAGTACAGTCCAACGTTCTTTCAGTATGCTGAAAATTATAATAAAATAAATTTAGTAATATTATACATACATATATATAATATTAATTGTAGAAAAATTAATACAATTGGTAACAAAAATTAATTACAAAATTAAAATAGATATATTTGTGATTGAGTAATTTGTATAAAAATATTAGAATATTATATTATTGCACATTTTAACACTTGAGAATTTTAAAATAAATGGAAGGCATATATGGAACGAGCTTAGAGGTGAAAAAATAAAAAGAACAAGAGAATCATGGAGAAAGGTAGGTGACAAGGATGCGAGATATAACGAAGTGCTGTAGACTTAAAAATAAACGTCGGAAGGTTTTAAAGTCGAAATCCGGATTCAACGAGAAATCCGGAAGGAAGAGCTCCGCAATGTGAAGGAAAGAGAAAGCGCGCGCGCGCGAACGTAGAATGGAGACAGAGGGAATGTCTCGGTACCGTTAACCATTCGGAAGGGGTTAACCGTCGTACCCGGGGTATCATCCGTTGCACAAAAGCCGTAAAGCACGCTGCTCGGTTATTTCGGTCAATCCTCGAAGAAGAGGCCGTCTAGAAAATATTCACATCGATCTACCGGTTGACCTCTCTCCTCCTATTTCTCCCCTATAATACACGCGCACACGTGTGCGCATACACGCACGGATAACGGGAACAGGTTCGTCGCCGCAGTAACAGATACCGGATACTCTCTATATACATGAAGCGCCTCAAAGTGCTCTTTCGAAGGCAGGCACAGAGGCCAGGTCAACCGCATCACTCTTCGGCACCACAAAAGGACACAAAACGGACCGTTCGCTCGTCCGTCTGTGCGTCCGTTCGTCCGAGCATGGACTATAAATACCCAGGCGTGTCGACGTCCTCAGCATTTTTCGGCATTATAAATAAATTTCCAACATGCGCGCGCGCGACCTCGGTCTGATTCACCCTCCGTGACGGACTATTATCGAAGGGCGGTATAAAAGGGTGGCGGGAGCGGCCGATAGAGGAGACTTCCGGGGATAATGCCTGCCCGCCGGGATCACCGCGTGTAATTCTGCATAATTCTCCCGACAGATGCGAGCCCCTAATTCAACTTTCCATAACGACCTCGTTGTGTGTGTCAATTCCCTAGTCGAGGGATAGTCGCTCGTCCTAAGCCACGACGGCGCAATCTTGTCGCTTCGATTTTCGAATTTGAATTTCGAATGTGAACTTGGACAGAAAATGGACGACAAGTTTATTGCGATCCTTTCCAATATAGCGTGTGACAGACTACGTGTCGGATATGCAAAAATATATATATTGCGATTATACAATATATATTACTCTAATGTCTAACTAAAAATATTAAAAGATATTCCTGTATGTGATATATATATTTTCGAATCATTAAAAACTCTATATCATCTATATTTTTTTCATTCTAATGTAAATTGTTAAACAATTATGTAAATTATTCAATAATGTTTGTAATTTTTAAATCGCAATGGCGAAGATGTTTACTTCAACAAAATGTACCAGGTTATCAGAAAATAAACTTTGTTATCCAAACGCGACATTTATGGCAGGTGGGATAAGTTTTCTCCCGCGGAATATTCGAGATAAAAAGATATAGAGAGGATTAGCTTTGTTGTTTTTATAGTGCGCTGACGGTAATGAATGTTGCCTTTTTGTTTTGCAAACACGTACCTAGATCCTCTGTGGTGATATGAATAATAAGATTCCGTATTACGACGTTTTGCGTTAAAAGGCAGAGCCCACTCCTTATCCTGCCAGCGTCATTGTGCTTTTTATAAACTAACGCGTGGCTGAAGAATCACAAAAATAAGATGCGTCGATCCAGGAGACATTTACATGAAAGAAACGTAAAATTCTGGGTCGCAACGGAATCTCATCTTTAAATCTTTAGATTTAATCCGGCGCGCGAGAAGCTAAAAAGTTGCCTTCTGCGTCGGCATGGTAAACTGTCGCCCCGAAGCGCGACGTGACAAATATTCGTTATTTACATAAAGCGCACGTAAAGTCATGAGACGCGCGATACGGATCCCCCGCGTATTCGGATTCTAAAGTTTAATGCGGAAGAAAGTCGAGAGAGCGCGTCTTCATCTCACGAATCACGATACACTCGCGTGAAGAAGGCGGCTCGGTCGAGGCACTGAGAAATCATAACGCATCGCTGGGAAGTGTTCCGCGATAACTGTCTGACATTTGCATGAAATAAGGATTCTAAGCGCAGACGTAATTTCGTACTCGGATTCGTGAATTTAATCCGGGCAAGAGTTACGCGCCCTCGTTTGCTAAGGGAGAAATGTACGGCGACGCGACGTAGGGAGAAAAACACGAAATATTTCTTCCCTTTACTCCCGTGTAATGTAATATTTAATTACACGACCGTAACTTATTATGGCACCTAACTGTTCTCTTCCGCCAGCAAAACAGTCCTGATAATAAGTCACCCTTACATGTGTACAGTCTGTACGAGTTCCCATTCCTCTCCCTTCTCCGAGCAGGCATAGATATACTCGCGATAGTCTAGAGTAAACCATGTACAAAAATTGTTCGTACGTATATAGAAAAGTCACATTTTTACTTTTCAGAGCCAATAACCGAGATTCTGGGTGCGCCGGAGTTGTTCATCAATCGAGGTAGCACCATCAATCTCACGTGCGTCGTCCTGCACAGTCCAGAACCACCTGCCTACATTTTCTGGAATCACAACGATGCGGTGAGTTCGATCCTCCTTCCTTCCGATCCGTTATTATTTCTATTTCTTCAACAAGCATCCTGCTATGGGAACCGACATTTGGGTAACACCCCGAGGTTAAACCCGCCAAGTTTACACGCAACGAATAATGCGCAGACGACGCTGCAATATCGCACGATTAGCGAGACCTAGATTTATTACTGACGCGCGCGACTCTGGCCAACGTTGACTTTGCGCACGGATAATTAATGATGATCCTACTTCTCGAGATATATTCTAATATCACGGAAGGCAACGCGTCGAATAAGTTTCTGCTTCGCCGCCGCGAGACCAAGTTTCCGCGAGATGAAATTTTCAGCGCCGCGGCGCACCGGCTAAAACTTCCGTCTTTCTTCGTCATGTTTATTGCGTATACAGTTGTTCGAGATTATTATTGTCGCTGCTGCTGTCGTTATTATTACGTTCGAGAAATTTTTCTGTCATTAACTTTCTACAAACAACTGTCCGAAATAAGTACATAACATCCTAATGATTTATGTCTTAAGTAAGAGAAATTTTCATTTTCTCCTTTAATTGACATAATCTTTCGTAACTCTACAAACTTTTTAATTATGAGAAAATTTCTTAACAGAAAGATGGTTATTTTATTAATAATCTAGAAAAAATGTTTAGAAAAAATGTAATATAATAATGTCTAAAAAAAGTACAGGAGACATTTTAGAGTTAATTATAAAACTGTGACAAAAAAATATACTTGTATCATATTTTGGAAGATTCTTTTTTAATAAAGTATAGATGAAATGATGAAGAAACTCTCTTCTAGAACAAAGTTTTTCTGTTAAAAATTGATTATTTCGATCCGTATAATTTGGAGAACCGATGACAATACGAATAGCAGAAATTCCGAATGGCTATTTGATGAGATGAAATCTGCTTCTCGCAAATTTCGCCACGGGGTAATAGCAGCGAAGAGATGCGTGATAAATGGCCGTACAGGCGTCGCCGTCGGCGAAGGTCGTCTCTAATTAGGTACTTCGCCTGGAACTTCAGGAAGTCGAACAGTTCCGATTAGAGCACTGATAAGGGACGATAGGCGCACTTAACCACCTGCTGTCATACAAGAATGTTGAGCAACTTGAAATGTTTCCGTAGCTAAGAATTTATCGAGCGATATTTGCATCTTTCGAGACGAGGCACTTTTCTCTCGATGTAATTCCGACTGAAATATTTTCGTCACAATCTCGACCGTCAAAGAGAGAGGTAAAGGACAATATTTGCCCGTTCACGATAAAAGTACACGCAGAGTGTTACATGTTTGCGCGGGTATTTATTATAATTAATATATCGCACAGGTCGCACACGTTTATGGTTAAGCCAACCAAAAATATATTCTAAAAACTCGAGCTTAAGCTCTTAAAATATGACACATAGAAGAAGAATATTTACATAGATATGCAAATATTCTTCTAAAAACTTCCTTCTTTTACAAAAACCTTAAAAAATGATAAAAAAGATAAAGATTAATGATATGAAAACAAAGTACGAATTAACTATCAGATTGAAAAAATATTGCATTGTTTTTCTATTTTAATACTCGTATCTAATTATAATGAAATCTCTTATCGCATCCTTTATTGATATATTTGAATGGGATTTGGGATTTCCACGACACATCTTTTGAACTAGCTTTCAGTATGATAACAAAGTTTTTTTGGCAGACGAATTATAATTAAGTATGTGCGCGCGCACAAAGGGAGATCATAAAACATTCCGACGGTGGTGGCAGCGACTGTTTGCGAACGGCTGACCGGCCAATAAATTTTGATAATGTCCTGGTTGGCTGGCCCGCCGCTAAATCGTGAGAGTCGCGGCAAAATTGGTAACGGCACTCAGGAGGTTCCATTAGGCGCATTAAGCCTTGACCGAGAGCTTTGGGACTCGCCTGGGTACGTAGAAACAACGTTTGCTCGCGAACCTTAAAGAGAACTCCGTCGTGCGTGACTAACGCGTGCAACCTCGAAGGGTTCTGGACCGTAAATGAGCCGAGAGGGACTCCCTAATTCCTCGGGATATCATTCCGTCAGTCCCTTCGTCCTCTCTCTCTCTCTCTCCTGGCGCGAGCCATGCCCGCCATGGAAGATATTGATAATACCCCGTGCGAGGATAATACCCCGTGCGATTAGCGAGGATTTAACAGCACCACGTAAGGCGAGGGCGAGGTAACGTTGACTTCGTGCATAGATAATTAATACGATAATCTTGCTTCCCAGAATATTTCCTACCGATGTATTCTCGCAGAAACAACGTTTGGTATAGATACGGCATCGTATCCTATTGCCTTATTAGATATCGAATGTGGTTCACTTCTAATAAAATAAATTCGGTAGCATTATATTATGTCAGTATTGTTATCGGTATATTCTAAATAACTTTACGAGTATACTTTCGTTTTATATTCTTGATTACTTTTCACTTTGCACTCGGAGGATTACGCATGTGGATTTCCGCGAAAGCTTACTTAGTTCAACGGACCGAGGTGCGTCTCTGGATCATCCTCTTTAAATATTTCGCCAGCGTTTCCTATACTTTTGGCAAAGAAGAGACCTCATACGAGATTGCACGCGTTCGCTTGAGATCGATTAAAAGACCGAGCGAGATAATAACTACCGCGCTACTCATAGCCGTAATCGCGATTTTGTACGCTCATAATAATTCATGCGCTGATGGAGGATGCTGTGATGGCTTTCGGACGTGATAAACCTACGGTCGTTACGACCGATAAGGAACGGGAGGAACAGCCCCCAGGAATCGTCTCGGGGGAACTGACTGAAATTCTCCTCCGATAATAAAGTCGCCCCGATCGATCCACCGCTACGCGAAACATTTTCCGGCCGCAAGGAATCCACCGGAGTCACCCGGGCGCGTTTGCTTTCACGCTCCGATACACCTTATCCCTTTGATTTTGATTGAATTTCATGCCCGCGTCTGTTGTGGCGACCACACCCCGAAGCGACCGACGCGCGACGTGCCGTCTCTTATAGATGCGCGACGAACGATACAATATTGAAATACCTCTATATCTTAAAGATGTTCCAAGTGTCTTAAAACGCGCAAATAATATCTTGATATCATGCTAAAAATCGACGAAGAAAATATTTTATTTCGCAAATTCTCAAAAGGAATAAAGAGAAATTGATCATTTCGTTGAAAATTTAATATATTTGTGATATATTAAATGTGATTTCCTAATTAGTACTATAATAACGCTTAATTATTGATGTATGTAGTAATCAATGAATCTGTATATACTAGCTGGTATATCGCACGATATTTCATATTTAATATCTAATTTTATTTCTGTTGGCTATCTCTAATGTGTTTTCATTCAAATTAGTCGAGAGTCAATTGATTTATCTCAAAGAAATTCTATTAAGTAATAGTTCTATTATGTAATAGTTAAACGAGATAATATATCCCATCTTATTTATATGTCAATCATGGAAGACTGCCAAAAAAGAAAAGAGAGTGAGGAACCGATGCCGTTGCCAAATCGATTTCCGCGGTATTACGAGGACAGGAATAAAAGCATGTTTTGCAGATCAGTGGTTGCCGTTGGATAAATGGGAACTCGCGTTGGAAGCGCGAGTGCATTAAAATGCCCATGCCCGTAAGAACGAATTGCAATTATAATCTTAAACCAATATGGCCGCAGCTCATCCTCTACGCGATCGATAGACGCGTCCAAATAAAGGGTGGCATGTGCCTTTCGGCGATTAACTTTCGTTGTCGCTAAACGTGTCAGTCCTTTGAGTCGACTCGCGAAAAAGGCGTAACCCGCATGTCTGGACGTAAGAGATTACCCGATACCGTAATACCAAACCCGATACCAAGCAGAACCGTAAAGTAAAGGTCGATTCGTGCTATACGACACAGACTGTCACGTTCCGGCAACGACACGTATCGGCAGTATCGGCACCGGCATGACAAAATATGCGTATGTTCAGGCTGCTTCGGCAACCGTCCGCCAGCTGACGTTTAACAGTCACGATGGATGGATCATCCACAACGATGATGAATTGGTTCTTATATGTAGCCTTACTTTTAGACAAAGACAAAACCAAAAAGCCAAAAAAACGAAGGAAAGAAATCGAAAATGAGTATATCAAATATTTAAAAAAAGAAAACTTGAAAGCAAGTATTAGACATTGTCCAAAGACTTACTTAAAAATATGACAACAAGTTTTACCAGTATTTTAGACTACTGCAATGCAAATTTTATGACTTGTTAAAATTCAACCTATTTCGAATTAATGGCTTATTTTATTACATATGAAGGACTTAATGTTTTCAATTAATAATTTATTTTGGTCCATCTTCTGCTGCGTTCGTTCTCTACCGTTTACTAATTTACACTGTGTAACCCGCACCGACACGGGTCGATACAGACCGTCAAAATATTCTTTGCGAGAATGTCGGTCGGTCCGTATCGGTGCCGGTTAGTGTGGACAGTCTCATTTAAAAAGCTTGTTTTAAAGTTTTGTCGTGCCGGTACGTGTCGTTGCCGAAACGTGACGGTCTGTATAACCTGACTAACCGTGAATCGACCTTAAGACGTGTAAGACAAACAACAATGGATTTATGTACACTCGTAAAACCGGGTCATTTTCTGTCCATCCGTAGCCATTCGTCGCGCGACGCACAACATGTGGGCGCTTTATCTTCGTGCAAACACATCCAAATCGAGTGTATAATCTTTACTTCGTTTACTCACGTACGAAAGTGAGAATATCCGTTTACGCGGACAAGCGCCGACCATTTTATTTACGGTCGTTTGCATGTCTGTTACAATTCAGATGTCGGCAAAGAGCTACTAATAAGTCGTTGAGAAGCTATTTATATTATGTTCATGCATGATACGCGTCTCAAACAAAATATCTTTTTCCCAGTTTTTTTTTACGGACTCCTCTTACGTAGTGACTTTAAGAGAATGAGAGGGGCAAGATAATTTAAAAGAAAAGCGATATTTATAATATGGATATGAAGAAAATGGATCATCCTGTCAAATTATTAGTTAATGTGTCAATCGAGTCAAATTGCGTTCATTATTAAGGCTGGATTGACATCATACTAGCCACGAATTAAGGATTATTTAGATGAAGATCGTCTTCTCGGTATTATGTATGACACAGAAAACAAGAATCAGTAAAAAATTTGAAATTTTCTCACAATTTTCCTCGCGGAGAATAACATTGGTAGACAGACATTAATTATACAGGAACCCCGATTACGCAGGTTCAAACATTCTCTGTGAGAAATCGAGAGACTACTCCACCCAGTCAGGAGATAACGAACTTATTATTTCAACGCGAACGTGAAGCATCGGGCATAAAATTTGAATAAATGAAAGAATAATAATACGCTTTGATGCGTGAGTGCGCGTGTGTGTGTGTGTGTGTTATTTGTGACAATGTGTAGTCCTGCTTTCCCATAAATCTTTATTCGACTCATATAAAGACACGTATTTTACTACATGTGCTATTTATCATTATACTAGACTGCTATAATATTAACATTATTGTTACATTCAGGTAATATTGCGAAACATAATAACAGAGATTATAATGAAATTTCTCTGAAATTTCTATTTCTTACTGTACATGACGAGTACTTAAATAGATAAAATTTTGTCCTCGGAGTACTTCGTGGAATAAGACGACGCAATTTTCCAGCATAAGGAAACCCAAAGTGAAATTAGGGAAAGGGATAAGCACCAAATGTGTTGCAAGCTAAATACAGACTCGTGTAATTTTCCGAGATGCGGGCGAGCAAATGCGCGGGCGCGCACAGAAGCGTACAGCGTACATCGTACCTTCGAGGTGCCAAAAAGTATCTACCGTGGGGATTCTTGCTGTTGCCCAACGAATATATATCGAATGACACGCCTAACCGGATGGAACGATCCATGTTACATTTGATTAAACGGGACGTTTGGTCGGTCGGTAGTGAAACTCGCGTTATATTTCGGGCGCGGTATTGAATATATCCCACGGTAAACACGTCAGGATCCCGAGGATACACAGCAACGGCATTACGATACTATATACTCTAGTCTAGAATATGGTATGTCGGTCGCATCGCTTTTCGGAAACATTTCACATTTGCCGCGTTCGACGTGCAGCTGGATGCCCGCCACCTCGAGGAACAACGAAATCCTGAAATAACAGCCGATTTCAACGTAACAACTGGCAACTTTATTCCTCGGCAAGAGGCGCGGCTGAGCGTTGTGAAGAAAATTCCTATCCTGAGAGAGAGAGCTCCGGATTGAAGGTTGAATTTATCAAAACAAACGAAATGGCAAATGGTGACGTAAGTCGTAAGGAACGTAATAAAAAAATTAATAAAAACGACGAATATCGCAAAAAGAAGCATCGCTGAAAAATAAATGTTCAGTGAATCATAATTAAAGTCCCGAAATTTAATTATTATAATATTACGTTATTTACGTCTTATCTGACTGTCGGCAATTCGAAATGATCAGGGAGGCAGAATTGGTTGGCTACTCTGTGTCCGATACTCCGGACACTCGTTCGCGCGCAAAACTTCTCGACAGGCAAAAAGGAGCAAACGAGAAACGCGGAGCAAGCGCGACACGACTTCGGACTCGCGCTGATATAACGCGACTGCGGTTTCAGAAAAGCCGCGTGAAAGAATCAAACATAATAACCGCCGTCTATATCAAAAGCACAGCACTCCGAACCGTTTATTTACACGCGAGGTTCATTTTCAACAAATAAAAAGATGCGATCGTACAAACTCACTTGCGTCTTGCGTCGAACGACAACACCTGTCCGCCATATGCAATGCCCGAAGAGGAGTAGGTTGCGTCGCGGCCGTCCTCGAACGTCGCAAGACGGGTTAATCGCGACCGCTTGCACCATCAGGGCACTCGAGACGATCGCCCGTCACTCAATTCGACACTCCCGACGCTCGTTCGCACGCGAGATTCACTTCCAACGGATAAAAAGACGCGGAAAGCACTTAGCGGCTGCAATTCACCGTCGGAGCCGCGCCGCCGCCGCCGCTACGCGATCGGAATGAACATAGCCGTTAAATACCAGAAGGAGGGGGGAGGGGCCGGAGGGGAAATGCCTTCGTCAACCGTTCACGCCGCGGGCGGCGCGGGCGCCGCGCTTCACCCCGCTCGATTCTTAAATTTATTCGCGAGAGAAACGTATATGCGCAAATTCTGTTCTTACAGAAATGTTGCAAATTGATTGATTAAAAGCCATGCGATAGCCAACCGACTTGCAACTTTTCTGTAAGAGCAGACGTATCTCGCATACGTTTCTTTTGGGAATAAATTCAAGAATCGACTGGTTTCTATAGTAAACTCGATTCCAAAGCTTGGATAAATAAATGAAAAATTCGAAAAATGATCGTATCTTTTTAAACCAATGGAATAACGGCAGGTACAATAATATGCGAACTGACATCGTTTCATTTCGTACCCTGTGCGATATCTGCGAACGACATCGCCGTAATTCTGCTTAATCTCCATTCGTATTTTATACGCAGAAATATATATTTAAATTCATATAATCTGCCTATGATGTCAATCGATTTATTAATGTATTAGCAAATTAATATTTCGTGCAAATTCATTAAAAACTCATACGTTGCGCAATATGCGGCTACGAGTGTAATATGACTAGTGCATTCAACCGCTTTGTTAATAATTTCGATACGTTTTCAGCAATCACGCGACAATAATTTGCGTTATTCAACAAAGCAATTGATTTTGTTCTTTTGCAATTTTCTACCACGTGCTATACAATCGGCGATAAGAACTAACTAACGGTAACAAAAATAGATTATTAAAGCGCTAAGTTAAAATGACACACAATTTGATAAACGATGGAAGAAAAGGAGGAAGAATATACGAACAAACGTCAAGGTGGAAGGGTAAAAATACGGCGTGATGCAGAGCAGAGGGTGCTGTTATCAGAATGCGCGCGAGCGAAGACTGATAAGATAAAAGTACTAAACCGTAAAGTGGAAGGGAGGAAAATCATACTAACGGACCATTGAACTCAAGATGTTTCGTTGGAGCCGACCGGTAATTCCGTGGAATGTCGATTTTCAGTAAAAGCACGTAATGAGGTTGACACTCCCCTTATTTCCATTTGCCTCTTTATACCGTCGTGCAAACTCTCGCATGCGTCTTTATAAAATTCGGGAAAATTACATTACGGGTTTTAACGCGCATTGAAATTATCTTACTCATTGAGCTGCGCTCTCTTACTGCTGATAATATTAAATAAAGTCACGCAATAAAGTTGTGGATTGAATGAGTCTCTCTGTGCCAACTAGCAATCTTCAATTTTTCGCGAAATTTATATATATAAATTATGGATCTTTCACATTTCAGAATTCTTTAAATAAATAAGGAAATTTGCATTTTCATTCAATATTAATGAGAACGAAAATTAGTTATGATTGTAATCTTATTGTATTAATCTCGTTTTATATAATTTTATTTATTTTTAGTTAAAAATCGTTAACATTAACTCGTATTAATATAATAATTTAAAATTATATAAAATATAATCAACTTTTGTTAGAGGTAAAAAGAGAAAAAAAAAAGAATATTATAATAAACGTTTTGTGTAACTGACAGAACAAAAAATGTAAATATTCAATTTAAATGTAACGTTCATTTATTCCAGATCGATTTACAGTCACGAGAGTTAATCGGTGAGTAATTGGTCGCTGTTTTAATTCAATCGTCAATGCAGAGTCAGCACTTTATACGATTAATGAACTGAAAATTGGATATTATTTATCCATCCTGATGATCGAGTAGAATTAAATAAAAATCAATTCAATTCGAAACATCGCTCGCCCGAGTAATTACAAGAACGTCATTTACAATAATAATTCGCGCGTATCGCGAACGTGAGTAACGTAGAAAACGGTAACGCAGACACATCAAACATTCAATACATATATATTTGTATATCACAGAATATTTAAGAGCGATCACGCTCGATTTATTGCTTACGTTACAAGAACGCACATTGCAAACTTTCTACATCGGCTTGATCGTAAAAGTTTAACGAATTTCTAAAACGTAAGTTTACGTTTGTGTTACGTAAGTTTCAGAAATGCAACTTTGTCGGCGTTGTTTAATTTTGTGCTTGTATACGAGCAGCTGAAGGGACGAACGCCCTTCGAAACATTAATTTGCGAGTTACCGGCGGATTGTAAAAACCCAACGTCGAAGCCAGCACCAGCGTTTCATTTCATATAGGATAAGGAAAGTTCAGCTCTCAGAAGCGGCGGAAGAGCGGCAGATGCACGTGTTTGAGTGCGCCGGCATTATTGCGCCTCGTATATAGCTCGTATATAGCCGGATTAACTATGGACTTTCGAACGAAAGTTTCGTATATTATTCTGCGTTAGACCGCAACGCGCGGTTTAGATAACGGAACGGAAGGAAGCAGCTCGGCGCTTATCAAACTCGCGGCGTGGCGGCGCGCGACCGCTAACTTTCGTCCGATTAATCGCGCGCTTTGAGACCGTGGGGCGATGGGGATAAACAGCTTCGCGACCAATATTCTTATCCCCGGGATTCGCGCAGCAATTTCAGCAATCCGGAAAGATTAAATTTTCTCCGGTACAGCTTATATTTGCACACTTATTAATGAAAGAAACTTTAAAAAAGCTTTTCGTTCTTAGAACGAAGCAATTACGCTTTGCGTGCAATCATTTAGATTTTGCCCTTTTGCGAATAAAAGAAATCTGAACGTGCAATATAATATTAGAACCTAGCTGTGCATCGAAGTAAATAATTGTAAATGTAAAGCAACGAGACTCTTTAATAGAAGAACTCTTTTACACTGCAATACATTAAGTAATGCATATACTTGATATACTAATACTGTAATTACCTATTTTAATTCTATTTTTTATTATAACAATTTTAGATTCTTTTGTTTATTGCAGTATAAAGAAAATATTGTATCTCTCTAACAAAATTCCTGAATTTTTAGTGGGACTTTTAAGTAAGAAAAAAAGGAAAACTACGGTCTCTATGAAAGTACAGTGTACGAGAGAAATTGAATGAATAATTATTGATTATTCATTCGGCACTTCTTTTTACCAAGATAATCGCAAGAGAACATGATGTCCGAATTTTTTAACACCGAAACACAGCCAAGAAGCAAATATCCAACAACATGTTGTCAAGGATGTTCTACGATTCTCAATCTCTTAAGAAGGCTTACGTGCCTCTCCGACGGAGGCACATTGTCGTAAGGTTCTGGCTACGGATTATTTATTTAAAAATCCTTTTCGACTCTCGCAACGTTCTCCACTCTTTATTCCTTTCATTCGCGTATACCGAATGTTAGATTCTGCCAACCTCGCGTTAAAGTGACACTCGTGAGCGTTGTCAAGTGGAACAGACGTAGGATAAACACGACGTTCGTCGAGATCTTGAGACGAGTATACTACTAGCATTTGGACATTGCATCCAATTTTCCAGTGTAAATACGCGGGCTTAAATAATAATTGTGAAATATTTTATTCTAATAGGAAATTATTTTTTCATTATTCTTTCCTCAATATATTTCCTATGCATATAGGAAAATTAAAATACATGCTTACATTTCAAGAAAATTGACGCATCTGCCAATAACTCGATGGGATAATTGAAAATTATAGAAAGCTAAACAATAAATAAAGGTCTGCCATGGAAAATTGTCCGTACCCGGAATAATATTTATCTTGAAAAATACCCTCGAGGCATAAGTCGCCGACGAAGTAATTTGCACCGAACGTCGGCGTGCGGGGCGAACCTTCCTCGTATCACCGGACGTCCCGAGGTACCGTACTTTACAACCTCTTCCCGATCGTCGATCTTGTAGAACGCGCTAAGAATTCTCGTTAAAGGAGGGAAACCTCGTATTTTTTCCACCCTCGTCCGTACTCTCCGCGAACCGAAAGGGAGTCCTTCGACGGGCTTATCTCTGCGCCTGTCGTCTTCATAGCCAATACCCATCGGGACTGCCCAATAAAAACTGTATCCGGCGTTGGCTAGCTGGTTTTCTCATTCGCTTCCACCCTCCACCGCGACTTCTCGTCCAACCCGAGAAACGTCACCTTGTCTCAGGACGATCGCCCGATCTCTGTTCCAGATAATCAGCTACGACTCGAGCAGAGGTGGCGTCTCCGTGGTCACGGAAAAGGGTGACAGCACGACGAGTTTCCTCCTGGTGCAAGAAGCGAAACCGTCCGACTCGGGACGGTACACTTGTAACCCCAGTAATGCTCAACCAAAATCGATCACCGTACACGTACTCAACGGTGAGTAATCGATGATACGAGGACACCGATCATGTGTCGGCTTCTGCGGCTTCTTATCAGCTCGTGATTAACAATTGTTGTTTTGCAACAACATAAAAAATATGGCAGAACATCAAATAATATCGGAAGCGTAAACTTCTGAGAAATTTTATGTAAATTTCATATAAGATTTCATATATAAGAGTCTTGTGACGATACATTGTGGCAAGTTTTTAATTTTTTTACATTGAATAATTACATAACTATCGTTGATTTATTATTGATGTAAGCACTATTTCTCACAGCTTATCTTTAATATAAAATTCATATTCGACAGCTCTATAAGATTGTGTTTGTATATTCATGTAACTCATCTAGAAGTGGCAAATTCTCTTTTTGAGATGCGAGAATGCATCTCGTCAAGGAGAAACCGCGCCAATTACGGGAAATAATTAGCTAAATTGCATTCCATTTCGACTGAGCAACAAAAAGAGCAATGTGAAGGAAAGGGAGAGGAGGGCAAGAATGCCAAGTGCCGCGGGTCTTCAGAAAATTTAAGTGTTGCCCTCTGTTTCAGGAGAGTATCCCGCGGCAATGCAACACGGCGGTCAGGCCAAGCAACCGAGGCTGTACTCCCTTCTGCTCTGCCTGTGTCTGCTACTTTACTAATTGCTCCATTCCATCGCGCATTCTCGAAAGGAGAAATCGGAAGGCACTTTCGAGCGAAGAAAAAGAGAGAAAGAACAAATGAATGAATGAGAGAGTGAGTGTGAAAGAGAGAGAAAGAGAGAAGTATTTCCGTCACGAGTTGCGCGAACATTGCTCAGGTGTCATGGAAGCTGCGGCGAGATACGTGCGACGATGTGCATCCGATGGGGACGCTTTTGACTGTGCACCGGAACGATGAACTCTTTCGCAACGACGCGCCGTTTGTCGATGCAACCGAGCGACGACGACGTGTCCGGAAGGGCAGCGCGACGATCAGTGGACGATTCTTTTAGCGATGTGACCGCGCGCGATTCGGGACTGCGAATATACGTACGATAATACACGTAAAAGAAATATGTACATCATGAAATTCCGTTACATAATAACCGTCGATGAACGATCGGTTTTATTAACGACAGATTGCTTATTCGTGAATAAAATCACAAACTTGACGCTGTTAATCGAAAAACACACGGGTGAGTACAATTATTCGTCGGATAAAGCACACAATTCCACGTTGATGAAACTGAATAAAGTGCGATTGAAATTATGGCATTCAAGATGTTGCCGTAATCGTGTATTTTCACACATCGTTTCATAAGTTTTATTTAAACATTCCGCTCTGATTGGTCCTTGATTTAACATTCTTCTCAAGTTCTTAAAAGCATTGGAACGTAACTTTCCCTTTAACTCGTTTATATTTCGCCGAAGATCGAATCCTCAAATTCCGATCATTCACAACTTAGAAATCCTCGAAACAATCGACTCTCTTTTCGGTACGATTGCAAATACCTCTGGTTCGAGGAAACGACGTGAGTCTTTTGGGACATCTTGTACACAACACAGATAGAGCGAAAGGTGGAAAGGGCTAACGTATAGCACGTATAAGCGAAGAGCGGTCGAGAACACGGAGAAGTATGCGTTGCCAGCGCTCGTCTTTCTCTCCGCGATTAATTCGAATGAACTCGAAGCGTCTGCCGACAGTGCTGGCTCATGGACTTTCAACTGGCAAGGCTGACGGCGAGTGCATCGAGGACGACAGAACGAATCGTTGCCATGCAACCGCGGCTTTGACCAAGTATACACTTCGGAATCCACGCCTGTGTGACCATCGGTCACTACGCCAGTGTGCACCTCTGTGTACCATGATATACCGATTCTTCCCCGGCGGCATGCACAAGGAACCTTTTGTCGATCCTCCAGTCTCGTGTTCCAATATTGACGCCGCATTTCTGGCCATTGGTGAGGAGCGAAATCTCGAATTTCTACGCCGAGACCGGAAGGTATTGCGGAGGCGATTACCGCGTAATCGGATCGCGCGTCTCGGCTCTTTTCTCATCTTTTCTTTTCGCTTTTTTCCTTTTCTTCCGCGCGGCATCTCGAAATCAATTAGCGGCCGATAAAAGCCTGTGGCCTCGGCCTGTATCGCACGCGATTATCGATTGATGGCAGATAGCGATTTTCGGATTATTTCTTGGATTTATTCTCGACCAAACACGAAACACGAAACACGATCGCCTGCTACTTGACAATCGTGGAACGTCGTTGAAGCTAAAGCGGCGCAATTAGCTTACGCGAAATAGAAATTGCGCGTTATGAAATTCAGCAGTAATTACGCTTCTGTTCCGACAGTTACCTCAAAAGGTGCAGAGACAAAGCGAGATTCATCGTGTATAATGATATTTGCATTAAATTCAATCGCGTTATTTGATGCGTTACAAAAATTCGAGGAAGAACGGAATCTTTTACGTCACAAAGCAAAAAAACATTTATGTGACAGCAATGAAGAAAAAGATTTTTCATGAAATATTAATATTAATGGAACTACAATCGACAGCGGTATATTTTTAAAGCAATATGCAAGTGAAATTTATCATACCGTTTGCAAGATTTTGGGATTTCGACTAACGATCATATCTTTGTCATAAAGCAAATTAAATTTTGTAAATGCATTTCTTTCTGTCAGAATTAATAGAAATAAAGCAGCATGCATGGAACGTCGGATGAAAATATTTTACAGCATGGGATTAAAATGAAATCCTCTTAATTAATTCAAATATGCAGAATCTTTCTTTCTCCACGTATGTATTTGCATTGTTTACGCAATCCTGTATTTTTTTTACCGTCACGGACCCGTCCGTGTTGGTAAAAAAAAATCGCGAGATATCAAGTGAATTTATTTTCCTACTTCTCGGGGGAGCATTTCTGTAGAAGGCGGAAGATAATGAAGAAAAGTCGGTCATGCGTGCAATCCGTATATAGTATATAGCGTGCACGCGAGCGAGCGCAAGAATGGTGTACGCGGTGAGAGTAGCAACGAGAACGCATCGTTCTAATCGATCAAGTACGCGCGAAAGATGCGAGATGCGTCCGATTCAATTAGCTCTCGCAATTTTCTTTTTTCAAACAATTGTCTATTTGTCTTTACGAGTAGTACGGAGAACTTGGAGTATAATATTGAATTTCTGCGAGATGTCCTCAACGTGACTCATAATTCTCGCTCGCGCTAGTGCTGTGCCATTTGTTTCTTATATTGCACGTATTTCGTCTATCTCTCGTTGAAACACGTAAAAGTCATTACGGAAGAACGCATCACTCATCGTTTTCTTTCAATCTACCGTTCTTGAATCGTATTTAAAATTTGCAAAATTTATTTTAAGTACATTTAAGTACATATATTTGAAACTGCTGAAAGGACGATTCCAAAAATTCTTGCAAAAATCGATATAACTTGATGAACTTATTTCCATGTATGTCATCAAAATGTATGATCGTTTAAAGATGACTTTATTAAAAAGCACTCTCGCAAAATTTTATATAATTCTTTGGTTCTATCAATCTTTTCAACGGAAATCAAAAGATATAACATTTAGATATTTCTCGTCTACTGACTACGACCGATCAGGATGCGCGTGAATAGCTATTATAGTCGGCGACCGATTTAAAATACATTTAGGAACTCGTAAACGACTTCTTGTTCGGGACGGCGCATAATTCAGTACGACACCGCGTTTCACCATCGTCGACGACGTCGGGTTCGTAACTATTAATAAAACTTCGAGCTGTCGCAAACGCGAACGGGAGTAAATGGTAGCAGAAAATATGAATAATGAATGAAAACAAAATGAAAAGTGCGGGTAAACGCCTTGAGCCTCGAAAGCGCGTGTGCGTGAGTGCGAAAGACGAACAATATCTAGTATCCGCAACGGAAGAACGTGATTAAAAAAGTTTTCAATGACCAGTAATACAATGGCTCGACCACGCGTAAGAACGCCTCTTGTCGTCGTCGTCGACCGGATAATCAAGTCCCTGTCTCTAGCCCCTTATTTCCCGGGTAAAAAGATAGCGACCTCGGCCCCTCGGCCCCTCGACCGGAGGTGAACGTTTAGTGGACCCTTCCTCCGTTGTCTCCCATCCACGACCGGTTACTTCTCCATTCTTCCTGCTGGCCGGAAAAAATCAGGCGGTTACCGGATTACGACGGGGAAAAAAAGAGTGCGAGGGTGGGATATGAGTCGGAGAAGAGAGAGGTGGTGAGCGACACACTCGCCGATCCGCCTTAATTTATCAAGTTAAAGGTGAGGTACGTCACATTATGTCGGCATCGAGGTTCTCCAAGCGGACGCGATGCACGCTCGGCTTCGTACTCTGTACGCTCTCGCGCGTGTACCCACTCACACATACCTGTGTGCCCCGCACAAGCACTGGATTAACGCGGTCAAACATCGATCCAGGGTATTAATTCGACGTTTCATATGACGGAAAGTATCATCGCGAGTGTATCCGAAATGTATATATCTCAAGATGCAAAATTGTGCCCAATGCGACAACCGGAAGATAAAATCGGCAGATATCGACGCATATTAGATGGCTCCAATATTTTCACGATGACGCAGAATGGAAAGCTTACAACGGCTTACAACGGCTTGCTATAAGAGCACTATACTTGTTTCCACGTGTTTATAATTCGAGCGTAATAATAAAATATGTTTATTGTATCGCGCAATTAATATATTTGTACAAATCACATAAATCGGCGATAAAAGAAACTTACATTAAAAATTTATAGACTCTCCGTATATAGCGAACGTGCGATAAAAGCCACCGTAGCATGGCTTTTAGTAAAAAGGGTTAAACATGGAGCTTTTCTCGACTTTTCTACGCGAAGGATGTGGCTGATTTATGTACGAACGTGATTTCGAGGCATTGTAATAATTCAAGATCGCTAGCTGACTGTACGAAGTGTTCTGTTGTATAGAACATCGTATTCTTCGATACATTTTCAATCGTGGATAGAGGGGATAGAGAGCCTCGGAACTCGGAAGTGAACATGACGCTGCGCAATACCGGAGGTTCAGGGTGCATGCAACGCGTGCCTATCGTCGTTTCTTGGTATTTCCATCCACTTTTATTCTTTACTATAATAGCATCCGACATGAGAATGCCGTTCGTGACCGGCAAACGAGACTCTCTATATGCTCGCGCTCGGTCGGACGTGCTCGTTTTTCCTCTCGTTTCGCTTTTCCGGGACGTCCGCAGCTCCGCGTACGTGCAGCCAACCGGCTTTAATTAAAAATGAGCGGCACTTTTTCTCATATTACGTCAACGGAGTAAATGTTATTGTTTCATTTCTGATTGTTACTTTGCCGACTGTCTTTATACGAATTGTTCGTACGTAATCGTATTTCTATTCGAGTGAATGAGACAATCAGAAAAATATGATCAACGTCAAACGTTATCTTCATAAAATGCAAACTATTACATAAAAGTTAAATAAAAAAGAAATCAGTTTTGTTCGAACATTTTCTTTTCGAATCAAAGGAAAGGCAATTTTTAGTGATTATTTGATAAAATTCTTTGATAGATGAAACATAATTTTTTTTACAATAACTTCATCGGCATGAACCAAAGGAATAAATGGCAAATGGTTTCTTCTTTACATTCGTAAGAACAAATAGATACGCGAATCGAATAAAGATTAAAAAGTGTAAATTCCAGTTCCTGAAAATGTTCGCATCTTACGTCGTAAATATAACAATAAACGCGTCATCAAGGGAATAAACATACAGAAGAGCGAAATCTTCTAACTTAATCTGCCACTTGAGTCAATTTACATCGTCATTTATGTTAGATACTTAGGTCCGCGAAGTACATCGTCCGACAACCTCTTCTCCGAAGAGCGCGCCACTCATTAAGGAGCAAAACTAAACGTCGGTATAATTTCCGACTCCGGTTACAAGCGCAGCAGCGAGGTCGTTACCGCCGCGAATTAGAGTCGCGTTACAAAGTCGACGTAGCAAACTCACTCGGCGAACGACGTCGTTGCGCGTTTCTCGAACGGAACATTGGCCGAAAACGATACCGAGCCGGGTACGTCGGGTCGGGAACGAAAGGACGTCTGTCCAGAGAGAGATAAGAGGACCCTCGTCTGTTCCTTCATATCGCAAGTCTATTTCTGGATCGGTTGGACAATAGCTTCTTTATCGCGACGAAAGTAATTCGACGAGAGTATTTCCTCCAGAGAAAAAATATCAAAGGACATTCGCGTTTGGAAAATGTCAGTGTTCATTATGTTGTCTACGACCTAG